TCATCCCAGTTGGTGATGATACCGTGCTCGATCGGGTATTTCAGAGTCAAGATACCTCTCTTGCTCTGAGCCTCATCACCCACGTAGCTGTCTTTTTGACCCATACCGACCATCACACCCTGATGACGGGGGCGACCGACGATCGAAGGGAAGACGGCGCGAGGAGCGTCGTCTCCGGCGAAACCGGCTTTGCACATGCCGGAGCCATTGTCTACAACCAGAGCAGCTACTTCGTCGTCACACATTGTGGTTTTTCTTCGGTTTCAATGCTCTATAACAAAAATCACGATTTCTTTTAGTTTTTGTTCATTGTCGTTCGATTTTCATGCTGTTATATTCTTCTGATACCTATCCCGAAATTATTATAAATTAGCACCGTATGCAAATATTACTCCTTTCCAAAAGAAAGACTCTTTCACATTGTATCATTAACATTCTATCATTGAAAATGTTGATGTTGTTAGAATGTTAAAAAAAACGATCAAACTATTGGTGGAAAATGTAGAATGTTATTGAAGTATTATTATGTTATTATATGAGTTATGATATTATAAGAAAGGAGCAAATGCAAATCATAGGTAGTGTAATCTTATATTTTTGCATCTCAACACTATGAAGTAAAACAGATTTTACTAAGTTCGATTTAAAGAAATATCAATGGACGTGAAAAAGTGACACATAGAGATGAAAAAAAATAATACTTTAGATATATTTGATAATGGTAATTGTAAGTCACGCGAGTTTCCCGACGAAGTTTCCCGGCAAACGTTGCACGAAGCCAAAATTGACCCAGTTGCCTATAAAGCGATAGGCAAGCGGCCCCGGCGTCGCGGCGCTATTTTCGCTCGGCGTGTCGCTAACTTTAGACGAACGGCCGACCGACGCTCCCTAATAAGTTCAAGCGACGATTATGGTGGCCGACGTCGCTGCAGCCGCCGCCGTCGTCGCCGCCGCTGTCGACGACGATGACGACGACGACGACGACGGATAAAACATAACGCCGACGAAGTAGCAGCGAGTGTGCCAAAATTATGCCCGTCCGTGGAAAAGGACGTAACATGGTCGCACGGCCGAAGACCTCGACTATGCGACTATGAGCGCGACCACGAAGACGGCCGTTCGCCCCACGTTCGCATATATTCACAGTTTTTATGGCTAGGTTTAGGGTAACCATTAGTTAATGATTCGACTCACTCCTCTTATCTTGTTAGTTGTAATCCTAGAAAGAACTGAAAGAGCGGTCGAATCAAGTTCAAAGTTAACGGACACTGAAGAAACTGCTGCTTAGAAGAAGGAATAATTTTAGGGACTAGCAGAGAAGAGATGTCGAGGGTACGATCGTCGGCGAATGACTCCTTTTATGGACACCCTGAACTTAGTACGCATGATTCATAATCAAGGGGATGTTTCATGATCCGTTAAAGATGTTTTCATAAAAATATCTAAATTGTTAGGCAATGTAAGGATGTTTTGTAGAATGTTTATATGATGTATTTCACATTTTTTTAATTTAAATCGTACCTTCGGTTCTCTTCTGGATGTTATGTCGTTGATCTTTCTCTGTCATCATACTTGGATAGTATTGAGGTACATAAACTGTTGTGTCGAATTTTGAAGTATTACAACTGATTCTTAAACTATATTTTATTTAATGAATTTATTTAATGAACTTTGCTAATGTATTCATAAGATTTTGTATTTATAGGATTTTTGTATTAATAAGATGAATTTTGCTAAGATTTACTGAAGAATATTTTCCTGGCAAGAATATTGTCTTTAATTTATACAACAATCCAAGCACTGTGACAGAACAGAATTATCTGATGGATATATTTTGTTATATACATATATATATATATATTTTTTTTTTTTTTTTGTCATCGTATATTTTATCGTATATGTTATCGTATATTCAAGTGTTATCTAACAATTTTCTGTTGAGATTGATATGTTAAAAGCTTTATGTTTAAAGATTAAAATCAACTTGATTTGCATAGGGAGTCGGTCTGTTATCGGGACGAGAGATGCGTATCATGCAATGGTATTATGCGAGTTTGACGATGCGCCAAGATTCGACTTCAATGGATGGAACAATGTAATTGATACACTATGAACTTGAACTTTCTCTGAGGATTCAGCAACGGATTAAATAACAGGCAAGTAGTAATACCAAATAAAAAACGATAAGGTAGAGAATCTACAATATTGCGCGCGCCTTGAAATTATTCAGTAACGAACGAGATTATTCAGTTCAAACATTTCCATAGATTTAGATTCGATCTATTTATTAAAATTAAAGAACAATTCGAATGAATAATTTGAGTGATAATCTACATCTCCGTTTGATTTCTTTGGATTAAATTCAAATCCAATTTGACGATTAAGAATAACCAAAAATAAGCAGAATCTCTCTTCTTCTATCTCGAGTGTTGATTAATTCAGACAGTTCTAATAGTTTGAATTCGTCGAATCTTTGGAACTCAATATCAAAGATCAAACAATAGGTATGAGTGAAGAGACTGTTACTCCGAATAGGTGGACTATCTCGAGCAAGATCCTAATGGTATCCCCGGATATAACAAGAGGATTCACCGGCGTTAATCACTCTCATTCTCGTCGAACACTGTAACACGCGGATAACCGCGAACAGCAGGCGTCACGGAAGCAGGAAGAAAGCAATCGAGTCATCCGTAATGGAAGAGCCAGAGTACGTACATACAAACCCGGCGGTAGCGGAAATTCGTGCGGATATAACTGCGTCTACGTACCGTGCACGGGACAGAGGTGGAGCGGCGTCTGTGCCTCGGCGGCGTCGCGACGTCGATTATATGCTCTCGTCTGGACGCCCCCGCATTTTCGTGGGATGGTGCCTGGCCGACAGGCACGAAAAAGGCTCGCCTCGCGGGGCGTCGCGACGCTCGCCGAACTAGGCGGCCGCAGCCCCTAAGCGGAGACGAACATGCTTACCGCTTTGGAAATACTCCGGCAGGCATTCCTGCTTGGAGCCGGGGTCGCATCGGCGCGCATTAGCGTTAACCGGAGTCAACGAATTTTCTCCATCTTCATAAGCGAGCCATTGCAGTGGATAGCGGTTAAAATTGACCGAGGTTCGAGCGATCCCCTCTGTCTCTGGCCCGTGTCTAAAAGCAGATAAAGAGGAATCGGTCAAAGTGTAGCTAAGTTTGATTTATATTGATGGGAATAACACTTGTAGAGAGAAAGCAGATCAGTTAACGTCGATAACACGATCTCATTAAATCTTTATGCGCTAAATATATTCTGCTTCTTTGACATTTTTATAATTTTGCAACGAAAATAAGGCGCATTTTTTAAGTAATGTTCGTGTGCCTAATTTGATCGGGAATATTTTCTTTTGCCACGAGAAGTACGGAACGTTGTCCAAAGTATGATATATGTACGTAGTTTTCTTTTTACTTGTTTCCCTTTCCTAAAATATGATTTTGATATAGATCACTGCGTAATCTTCTTGACGAATTTTACCCAGACTTTTCTCGGTTACAATTATACATGCTTCTCATAAATTCACCGTGAAATTGCATTCGTAGATTCTACGTGAAGCATAGATCTCTAGGAACCGACATGTCGATTATGCATCAATTAGCACAAGATGGAAGATATCGAGAAAATTTCGACAGCGGAATACTCAGGGAGATTGTCGAATTTAACTTTCTAACGCCTGCAAGAATCATACTCTGACGGATATCAAGGCGTCAAAAGTATTTTGAGATTACGCGATGTGACCGAAATAAACTGTAGCTTCTTCGCGAGAGCTTTTATCGCGGGGATTCTCGTCCCTGAATATCAATGGAGCATGCAAATTCAGCTGGGAAAAGTTTTAAGAGATAATAATTCGCGATAGTCGGAAGCGAAGTTTGCACATTCTTTTAACTTCAACAAAGTAATAAAGGATGAAGATACAAGTGAACGAAACGGCATAGAAACAATAAATAAGTAATTCCCGTCGACAGATTTTTGGCGGGACACAACGAAAAATCATAATATAAATTAGATAGTAGAGAATTAGTAGAAAATTAGATTAGAATATAGAGAGAGGGCGGGTAATATTAGGCCAAGGTCGCTATATAATCGCAAGCACGTAACGATAAGGACTATTTTGAAATTATATCGGCTGCTATTTTGCCGCGATCGAAGACAAATTTGGATGTGTGAACGCTGGAGAGCGACGCTAGGAGATTAACATAATCGCGAAACGCCAGAATTCCCAGCTACAAGTTCATTTATTACAGTCAAATAACATATGAAGCAGCTTATGAAATGTATAAGCTAGTTTCTTCTCTCTCCGTATCTATTTTGATGAAAGTGTCAAAGATTGAGAAATGAGAAAAGGGTTATCTACATCTTCAGCACCTCCAGTAAATCTAGAGGAATTAATTTTTCTTTTATTTCTAACACATAAATATTCATGAATGTTCATGTAAAACTGGCACTTCTAATTTGACCTTGTTGAAAAATTGTTACATATAGTGGTGTATTTCCCAGATAAAGAAAAGTTGCTGGAAAACGAAGATCCCAAGAGCTGTTGAACGAGAATCTTAACAGCGCTACGCTACGGAAGGATGTCAAGCGAAAATAAACCAGATACTTCTTTATGTATACGACACAGAGTTCACGTGAGGTAATGTAAAGAATGCATAATCATACAGTAGTGGTGTGAGATAATGTGTATTTGACTTGACTTTGACATCGTATAACAATATAGAGTATAACGTAGTGTATATAATATTTACAAAATAAATTAAAGAGAGAGAGAGTATAGAAGTACATCGGTAACGTTTGCTTTGGTTAGCAGACTAGAAATAATTATGTACGTATTGCGAGACGATATCTCTCGGACGGTGGTAAAGGACGCTCGCGCGACAGTAAATAGAGCTCGATCTTCCCGAAGTAGTCTCGATGCCGTTGCCAAGCACAGCCTCGAAGGTCCTCGCGTATCCTTACATCTGTTCATAATGTTTCTTTCGCAAGTCGAAAGATACATTTGTATCGTCTCTCCGCATGTACGGGGATTCTTTTCGATGCTCAACAATGTCCAGGCTACCACGGATGAGATCCTGTGACGAGAGCCAAACCGCCGACCGCTACCTCGGCCATGATGATGACGCCAAGTGAGCAATGATGTCGCGCGCAACTTTACGGAATGTTGCGGCGACAGAAAATGATCAACCAGGCTGTCGTTGTTTACGCAACGACGAGCAAGGCTGCGACGATGACATTTCGGTGAGATCCAATGATGACTGAGAGTCATGATGATGTTGTTCTGATGATGTTTTCTTGTAGCAGCTTGATTGCACGAGGACGAACGGCGCGGTGTTATTCACACGTTCTCCTCGAGGGACGATGTTCTTTCGAAGATTGCGCCACGTCGATGGTGATCGTATAACGACGCGCTTAGAAGCATTTGCGGTGGACGATGCCGGGGCCGGACTCGTCGTACTCTTGCTTGGAGATCCACATCTGTTGGAAGGTAGACAGAGAAGCCAAGATGGAACCACCGATCCATACGGAGTACTTCCTCTCGGGAGGAGCGATGATCTTAATTTTGATAGTCGAGGGTGCGAGGGCGGTGATTTCCTTCTGCATACGATCGGCGATACCAGGGTACATGGTAGTGCCACCAGAGAGGACGTTGTTGGCGTAGAGATCCTTACGGATGTCGACGTCGCACTTCATGATCGAGTTGTAGACGGTCTCGTGGATACCGC